TTATTATTAATATTATCATTATCATTCTTTTTCTGAGTGTTATTGCTATTCTTTTAATTATGTTTTTTTGGTTTGTCCTTTGTCCACAGGGCTGGGTGGATAACCTGAACGGACCGACGGGGCTTCTGGCTGCTGTGAGTAGTTTTCTCCCTCTTCTCTTCCACAGGGGGTGAATAAATGTCTCTTGTTGAAAGGGGAATAGAGTCCATACAGTACGTGATATGTTCTTACCGCCACCACCCCCTCTCACACACATACACACACACACACACACACACACACACACACACCCTCCCGTGCACCTCTTTCAGTGTGGCTGCTGTCTTAATTATATGTGAGGCAGCATGGTGGAGTCAGGTTCTCGTCAAAATAATCAAAGTGAAGAAACTTGCATTTTTCAGCAGGATATGAATTTTTATCAAATTTTTGTTTTTTGGCTCAACACCTTTCATGCCTATTAAAGAACTCATTTCTGTGGAAATTTTTCTGAAAAACGTTGATTAAAGGCACAAAAAATGAAAATTTTTAGTTACCACGGACTCTTAAGCTAAGGAAATAATTAATCTTTGGCAGCCATTTTCTCACTAATTTTACCCCTGAAAACAGGCGACCTCCACCACCTCCTTCTTTGGCAAATATCTCGACTTGTATTCGAGATAAATGAATATTATTTTCATCAAAATAAAGACAATTGAACAAGCTTTAAGATGATACCAATAACTCTACATGCCCAAAAATTGACGAGAGCCTGATTCCACCACACTGCCTCACATAATATTAGATTTGACGACAGCTCTCGCTTCAATTCAAGCTTCAAGCTGTTTGAAAATACTCTCGACACCTTCGTGAGTGAGTGGGTGGTTGGTGGGTGCTCTGGTGTGGTTTCCCTCTCTTTTTCCGATGAAACGTCTATCATCGTTGTCTGTCCTCGTTCTTTTCCGTGCAAGTTACTCTCCAGTAAATCCTCTAATCTTCTGCATTTAAATGACCTGATTGTGGAGCATGTGCCACGAAACTATTACTTAAAATATGCCAAGCGCCTCTAATCTTCGGCTCTTATATGACCTAATTGTGTTACTAGTAGCTTAAAACTCTTACTGTAGGTGGTTGGCGGGTGCTCTGGTGTGGTTTGGTCCTTGGTTCCTATCAAACATGCATCGTCCTTATCTCTTATTCTCATCCTCCTTTTGTGTGTGTGTGTGTGTGTTTGTTACTCTCTTCTAACTCCTCAAATCTTTGGCACCTGTATGACCTAATTGTGTTGCAAGTGCCGTAAAACTATTACTTAAAATAAGCCAAACACCTCTAGTCCTCATCAGTTATATGACCTTATTGTGCTGTTAAACTCTTCATAAGGCTAAACATTTAACAATGGGTGGTTGGCGGGTGCTCTGGTGTGGTTTGCTTCTTCTTTCTTATCAACCATCTATCGTCCTTTTCTCTCCTCCTTCTTTTTTGTGTTTGTTACTCTCTTGTAACACCTCTAATCTTCGACACTTTGACTTATGTGACCTTGTTGTGTTGCAAGTGCTGTAAAACTTTTACCTTTTCTTAAAATAAGCCAAACACCTCTAATCTTCAGCACTTATATGACCTTAGATTAAACTCCTACTAAGACTAAAAAATTAACACGTATGTTGCCTTTTTCAGATCGGCAAAGGTCTGCTGTTTATTATGCACGGGAATGTTTACTGCACGGCCGACGTCATTCCAGTAGACATTGCCACAAACGCCATGATTGCTGTCGCTTGGTACACAGCCGTTGAAAAGTAAGTACGCACACTCAGACACATTTCATGCACGCACACATACACACGCACACGCACGCACACACATTCACTCACACACACACACACACTCAGACACATGCACACACGCACGCACAGACACATGCATGCACGGACAGGCACACACGCATACACTCAAACGCACACACACACACCCACACACACACACACACACACACACACACACACACACACACACACACACACACACAAATGTCAAAAAAGCACCCATAGACAGAAGATGAAAATTGCGCAATGGTTGGAAAAAACTTCAATTCCTTTGATTTCATTAATTTTTCTAGCTTCTGATTTTGACCACGGTGTCACAAATTTGTTTACATTGAAAGCTGAAGTTGAAGTATTTGAAGGCAAGACCTCTCAATTGAAGGGATGAGTTGTTGACATGCGTTCAGGGGTGGTTTTGCTCCTTCTTTTCTAGCAAACATCTGTTATTGTCCTTATCTCTCCTCCCTTCTTTTTTTAATGTTTGTTTGTTACTCTCTTGTAACACCTCTAATCTTTGGGACCTTTTGGGGTTGTTTTTTTTGTCTACTCTTTGGGACTCATATGACTTTAATTTTGGTTGTACTCTGTTGTAGCGCCTCTAATCTGTGGAACTTTTTTTTGGGGGGTCTGATCTTCGGGACTTTTACGACCTTAATTGTGTTTGTTGCTCTCTTGTAACGCCTCTACTCTTCGGGAGTTATATGACCTTAAATGTATTGTAAATGCCTTAAAACTGTAGCTAAAGCTAAACCGAAGGATTTGTTCATTTGTCTTGGCAGGCCCAGCGAAACGTTGGTATACAACTGTACCAGTGGCCAGATCAACCGGTTAACCTGGGGGATGTTCCGTAAGTTGTATGCTAAGTTCACTGCGACTGTCGGCTCTTTGCCACCGTTGTTGTTATGGTTATGATTATCGTCATCATCATCATCATCATCATCATTGTTGTCATCGTCATTTCTTTCATCGTCTTAGTCAACCTCATCTCTTTTATCATTGTCATCATCATTGTTTTCATCTTTAACATCATCATCATCTTTATTTTCTTTAACATCATCACCATCATCATAATTATTATTATCATCATCGTTGTTGTACTTTAGAAAACATATTATAATGGAGACCAGAATATATTTCAGATATGTTAAGTGTGTTTAAAACAGTGTCCAACACTTTGCCATAACCCAGGCTTCATCAGGAACACAGCTCAGGAAAAAAAAAAATTTACACAATACCGTAATTCCTAAGTTTTCACCATAAGATGTTTTGTAATGGTGCCTACATGAAACAATTGGAAAGAGCTGAAATGCATTATTTTAAAGGCTGAAGAATTTTGTTTCATTGAAGAAGTTGTGCTCCTTTTGCTAAGTGGCTGCAAACAGCATGTCGAATAACCAGAACTCATGTCTTCAATGAGTTTACTTTTTCCCTTTTTCCCATATTATATATATATATATATATATATATATATATATATATATATTTATTTTAAAAAAAAATTTTTTTCCCCCTTTCCTCAGAGGACTACCTCAAAGAAAACTTCCTCAACAATCCATGTCATAAGATGCTGCGCGTCCCGAACCCACGCTTCACACTCAACATGTGAGTATAGGTTATCATCATCAGCATGCAGTGCCGGATCTGCGGTGATCGTGGTTCTCCATTCAATCCTTTGCTCGGATGCTCTTAACCCTATCCGTACGCCTGGGGTCATAAGTAAAAACTTATCTGTTGACATCCACCCCTTGGCGCTCACATGACCTTATGCAGTTGCAAGCGCCGTAGAAACTCTACTTTAAAACATTTTTTTTATCAGCAACGCGTGTCTTAAGATGCTATGCGTGTGAGTACAGTAGGTCACTGCACAAAGTAATGTCAGGTACCATCATAATTATCAACAACACGTGTCATAAGACACGATGCGTTACAAAATTCATGACAGGTACAGACACAATTATCAACAGCATGTGTCTTAAGATGCTAAGCGTGTGAGTACAGTTGTACAGTAGGTCAGTGCAACAAAGTAATGTCAGGAGGTACCGTCATAATTATCAACAACACGTGTCATAAGACACGACGCGTCACAAAATTCATGACAGGCACAGACACAATTATCATCCAAGATGGCCACCCCACCGTAGTTGTGGAGAAAAGTGGTTGTCCTGGAAAGCTGGATGTCTTGGGCAGTGTCGCTATGATGTCGGGAATGTTATATTTTGGAAGTTTAGTATTTAATGTAGTGACCTAGTGGTTAGGTCTTGTAATCGTGAGGTTGTTGGGTCGGGGGTTTGAGCTGCGGGCTCGACGTTGTGTCCTTGGGAAAGACACTTTACACGAATTTTCCTCACTTCACCCAGGTAGAAATGGGTTCCCGGCCATAGACAGCGAAAGATCTTGTCAGTATGTTAGTGTTTTAGCGCCTATAAATGGCTGCTTGCACTGTATGCTTCCGAGGAAGTTGAGTTTATTTCAGAATGCTCTAAGGTCTGCTGGGGTAATAGTATAGATTGTGAAGCGCATAGAGCTTGCTGTTGAGCGGGAATTTGCGCTATACAAATGTTATCTATTAGTTAGTAGTACTGAACTTAAGAATTAGTACTTAAAAGCACAGAACAACCATTCGTATCCGTGGCCAGCAAGCAAGTAAAGTTTCTTCAGTACCTGATGTGAGTAGTGAGTACTTCCTTTGCGTTGGACCAAAACAATCCACCCTTAGGCTACTCCAATGTAGGAGAATCCCTCATAGGACAAGGGACAACACTCATTAATATTGAAGACCAAAGAAGTAGAAAAAAGTAAATATTATTATTATTTCCCTTGACTAAGACTAACACAGATATATTACAGGGAAGACATCGGGGGAATAGGAAGTGGTTGTTTGTACAGGTGATTGTCTTTCTTGCACAGGTGGCCGTTAGTGTAGGTTTGACTAATAATAATAATAATGGATTGCATTTATATAGCGCATATCCACTTATGCAATGCTCTATGCGCTTAATATGATACATATTATGGATTTACAAATCAATTTTAATGGCACATAGTATTACATACACGTGCACACACATATTCACACACACATGCACGCACGCACCACACACACATACACACATACATACAGACATACACTCATATGTACAGACTAGTTGTTTTGGTAGGAAAAGAAGCAAACGAACTAAACTTTTCCCTTAGATGGTTTGGGGTTTCTTTTAGAGGGGGTTGTTTTTTGGTGTTTTTTTTGGGTATATTCGACATTTCTAGTTGTCACGTAACCCTTTATTTTGAAATACAAGTGTTGTTTTCGTGGGTGGTTAGCGGGTGCTCTGGTGTGGTTTGTTCCTTCTTTCCTATACTATCAAACATCTATCATCTTTATCTCCCCTGCTTCTTATTTATGTTTGTTACTCTCTTGTAACCCCTCTAAATCTTCTGGCGCTCATATGACCTTATGCAGTCGCAAGCGCCGTAAAACCTCTACTAAAACAAACAAAACAAAGTGTTGTTTCAGGCAGTGTAGGACTTTTTCATATTGCAGGCAGAAATGAGAACTTTGCAGTTTGTTAGTTTTATACGCTCAGGAATGTATTTGTAGTTTCAATGAAGAATTCTGAAAATCTATCTATTCGCTATATAGGCAGGTTTTGCTAAGTGCGTGGTTTTTTCTAGCTGCATGTTTTGTTATGAGTGTGTTTTGTTTTGTGCGTGTTTTTTCTTTGTGTGTGTTTCGCTATGTGTTTGTTTTGCTATTATATATGCGTGTTTTGTTTTGTACTCGTTTTGCTATGTGGATCTTTTGTTATATATGTGTGTAGCACTATAATATGTGTGTTGCGCTGTGTGCGTGTTCATTATATGTATGTTGCGCTGTGTGCATGTTTTGCTATGTGGGTGTATCTCTTTGTGTGTTTTGCGATATGCGTGTTTTGTTATATGACCGTGTTATCATCGTTGTTGTGTGTTTCAGGTTCTGCCGAGACACCATGTAGGTGTTTTGTTATGTGGGTGCGAGGCTGTGTTATGACTGTGTTAAGACTGTGTTATCATCGTCGTTGTTGTGTGTTTCGCTATGTAAGTGTTCAATAAATGTGTGTTCCATATGTGGGTGCGAGGCTGTGTTATGACTGTGTTAAGACTGTTTTATCATCATCGTTGTTGTGTGTTTCAGGTTCTGGCGAGATACCATGTGGGTGTTTGACCAGTTGATACCGGCCTACGTCATGGACTTTTGGCTCAGGATCACGGGGAAGAAGCCTATGTGAGTTGGTTGGGGGGGTGGTTGGCGGGGGCTCTGGTGTGGTCTGCTTGTTCTTTCCTATCAAACACCTATCGTCCTTATCTCTCCTCCTTCTTTTTTGTGTTTGTTTCTCTCTTGTATCACCTAATGTTCGGCACTTATACGACCTTATTGTGTTACAAGTGCTGTAAATCTCTTACTAAAACTAACTCCCCCCTCCCTCTCCTCCCGCTCTCCTCTTCCAGGTTTGTGCGTATGAGGGATTGTCTGTCCGAAGCAGTTATATTATGACCTATTTCTGTTGCAAATGCAGTAAAACTTTTACTAACATTCCTCCCCCCC